TTTTTTTAAATATATATTTTTTCAATTAATATTTACAATTTTTTAATGGTGATTGGCAATTCACAATTAACATTTTGATCAGAAAAATTTGGCGTAATGACCGTCTTAATAGAAGAACTGTTATAATAGGTGATTTGATCATAGGGCAATATTCTTTCTGATTGGATGTGGAAAAATAAGCAACATGATAAACTTAGAGAAAATTATGTGAAACATTTGAAGACAGAAGTTGATGACGACGATGACGAAGTTGAAGTTTATGTTTCTGAAGAGAATGGCATTGATACAGTTGAAACAGAAGAGCAGTTAACTCAAGATGGTGATGTTAATAATGACAACAACGATGACAACGATGATGATGATGATGATGATGATGATGATGATGATGATGATGATGATGAAAATGTTAGTATCATTAACAAAATGGTTTTATTTATATGAAAAACTCATTTGAGCATGTAGTCAATCTTTCATTCCTATGGAATCTTGTTCAATATATGACTACTGATTTTTGATGCATCATATCACCAATCACCATAATAATTAATTTGTTTTATTTAAAGTTTTTGTTTGATGATTTGACATTTTCTATGTGCTTTGTTGAAATTAATCTGAAGTTTTTTGTTTTGCATGATATTTGTTCTATTTTTTACCAAAATTATCCATTCTGAATACTGTACTAGCCATTCCCATTACATCATTTTGATATTTATTCATTGAAAGAATGTCTTCTGATCCTCTCCATTGTATACTCTTTTATAAATAATGAGGTTTTTAAGAGTTAAGACATAATATTGTATATGCATATAAAAATTTGTTGCTACTTCTTGAATATTGAATGTTTTATTGCTTGAATTAAAAGAATGCATGAAATTTGCAATTGACAGTTTTTCCTTTTCTTTCCCTTTTCCTTTTACCTAACCAATTTTATCCCTTGTATTTTATTTTTTTCTTTTCCTTCTTCCCCTAATTGTTTCCTTTAATGCTACAAACAAGAGTGGAGTTTATAAAAAAGGCACATCTAAGGTGAGAATTATTTATATTGTAGTACATAATATTTATATAGAAATAATTATATATAGAATATTTAGAATAATTATAGTAAACTGAATTTTATTAAAACTTCCTAACAATAAATAATAATAAATCATTTTAATAATAATTTAATATGTTCATTTCATCTTTAAACTAATCATATTACACATGAATTATTGATAGAATATTTATTAGCATTTAAATAAGAGTTATAAGCTAAAAGTTATAAATATCACTTACAAAACCAAAAAACACAGCACATAGAACAAAGCATCCTCAAAGTTTTGCTTTTGTAAGTGATATTTATAATTTACATCAGTATATAGTGTGTTTATTACTAAGTTAAAAGTTTATAAATTTGTAACTTATTTGTTTTTTTTCCAATTACAAGCCAAGCATTTGAGAATGTTTGTTGGTATTTTAAAATTTAGACACTTCTGTAAAAAATGTATAGAATTTTCTATATATTTATGTTCTCATTTGGATAATTTTCTTTTGTTAGTTTCTCCAATAAAGCAGTTTTTAATGTAAATGAAATATTTAAATTATATATTTGTTTTATATATATCACAAATTAAAAAAAAAATACAAGATAGATTTGAAAATTAGTTGAATTCTGAACTCAATATTTTGTAATTTATGTAATAAAATAATCAAAATAAAAACAAATGTAAGACATTAAATACATCGCTTATAAAAATATAATTTTTAAATCAGACTCAACAATTTCAAAAAAATATTTTTAAAAATTATTGAATAATTAAAAAAGTTGTATATGTACAAAAATCTTCAAGTAGTAATGAAATAATATGATAATTCATAATAATTCTGTTCATAAAATCAAACTGCTTTGCCTGAGTCTGCATATGCACACAAATTAAGGTAACTGGTTTTTCTAGATTTTAAATGATTGAATTGTAATAAGCACAAATTTAATAATTCATATTTATTCAATCATTCAAAAAACATTATTTTCTAATACATTTCAAAAATTTTCAATCTGCTGATAACCTTTTCTTACACTTTTACCAGACATGGGTCTGCATAAAGGTACTAGCAAATGTGGATGCAAGCCAAGATCTTTGCTTGTATCAAGACCAGAATAATAAATAATACATAAAATTTGTATATATTTAACTTATTATTTATTAATTATTGTTACACCAGGCAACCATTATATTTTTATTCTGTTTAAAATCTTCTAGGTTGGGGTCCAATTTCATTTTAAGAATTTAAGAGAGAGTTAAATAAACAGATTTAATACATAAGAAACAATCTAAATATTAGAACAATAAATCTTAAAAATCATTGTTAATATTGATTTTTAAAGTTCAAACATAATAAAGGAAATTAAAAATTTACAAAATTTGTGACTAATAAATAAGTAAAATATAGAAGTTAAATCTAAATTAGTTCCATTTTTATTATTAGTATTAAAGCTAGATTCACATACAAACTGCCATTTTGTCCCATTTTCGTGACTGTTCAACCAGTTTATTAGGAGTTCAAAATATTTCTTTTGTCAAACTTCTGTTCATTCAACCAATCAACTTTTCACAACCAGTGTTCAAGATTTTTTCAACCAATTACGTTCTAACTCAATTTGCATTATGTAGTACAAAGCAACAACATTTCACTTTGATTATTATTCATTTCATCTATTTATATAACAGTGTGAACCTAGATTTATGTAATATGCACAGAAATTATTTAACCGTAAATGATTTTTCATTTAAATTATTAAAATTTATAATTATTTATTATAAATAATAATTTGTAATAATTTTTTTGTTAATTATTAAGTATTTTACTTTTTTGCAATTGTTTTTTATATATTAGATTGTAATTTAAATATGTTTGAGGATGATAAGATACAATACTTTATATTAAAAGAACAAGAAAAGAAAGGCAATTAAATAAACCATTATACAAACATTAGAGACTTTTCATCAATAAAATATTATAAATTATCTTAAGAGTTAGTTAGATTTACAAAATAAATGAAGTGTAATAAACTCATTATATTGATTTAAAATACTTTTAACAGTTTCATTATTTATTATACTGCAGTTGAATTATTCTTTAAATAAATTTAGAGTAAACTTCAAAGTTAATAAGTACAGATAATTAATTAAAAGTGATTATATTTAGAAACTAAACATCTGTTTTTTAGAAAATATTTCAATAGTTTTAAAGTTTACTTTTAAAGTAAGTTGTATTTTTCTCTATGAGTTATGGATATTTTGAAAAAGTTATTTGTTTCATTAAAAAAATTACATTAAATTTAAAATACATTGGATATTTAAATAAATTTTAGATTATTTTTTATAAACTATACTAAATGATTTAATCGTATCACATATTCAGCAATATCGGTATATGTTTAACACTGTTTGTTATCTGTTTTTATTTTTGACATTAAATTTATGATTTTTATTTTTCACTTTATTTAGAAAACTTATTAACTTTTATTTTGTTCATTTACTTAGTAAACATTAAAAAATTAAAATGTTCTTAGTTATTAGAACTTAAACATTCTTAACTATGAAATTATTGAAAAAATTATATTTATTTATCTTAAAAATCTGTCAGAATTATAAACTTCAGATTTTAAGATATCTGCTAATTATAAATTGGGTTTATCAGGCCTGGCCAACTTATTGGAATTCATGGTATTCACTTATAGTGTTCTGGGTCTGTGCTACCATATGGCAGATTTTTATAAATTTACACAAAATTTTCAATCATATTATTTTTTAAATATTTTATTTATTTTTATTTATATTATATGGCACAAGTTGAATATTTATTGATGGAGCAAGGTATGGAACTTGTAATTGGTATGGCATTTCAAAACAAATTTTTTTTCATTTTATGTAATGGGATAAGGGGAATCAAATGCATGTCTTGCCCCAGGCAACATAAACTATAGCATTGACTTGGTGTGAGTCATGAAAATAGCTATCACCCCACTTCAAAACTACTGATGATCTATCACCATATTTTCATTCTTTTGTAAAAGCTTGCTATATTAGCTGTTGTTATAAAATGTAATTATGTTTTGCAGCATAATTCTTAGAAAATATAATTATGCTGCAAAACATAATTATATTTATCGATTTCCCTATACAGGTATACCTCGAGTTACGTCGTTCTAGATTATACGTCGTTTGTCAAAAAATATATGGAAAAATAAAAATCAAGTTTAAGTCATTTTATTCAACTTTACATCTGCCCACCACAAATATTGAAGTTGTAATATCACTATAAAAGCGTTAAAGCACATAAAATCATATTAAAATATGTACATTTACAGTAAATGTTAATATAATCATAAATCCTAGAGAACGAAACATAAAAACATCTGTGTTTCTGTGTTGTTGTCTTATTTAGCAGTCTTTAAGTGCTCAATATTGGTGTTTTCCATGGAGCTCCAATATTTACCATTTGATGTCATTGTCAGCGCCACTTGATATTGGTAAATTTAATATAAATTAGTTTATTTTCTAGTGTTGCAACATAATTTTAATAACTGTATTTATTATTTAACCTTACAAAATCATCTTATTTTATAATGTCTTAGAGCAAACCACATTCACAAATAAAGAGTCCACGATGTACTGTAAACATCGCCAAGTTGTAAACATGTACATTTACAAGTATGTGCTGTACATACATGAATTCGTAAATTTAGATTACTATTTTTGTACTATATTAAAAACTAAAATTTATTTGTTTGTAAGCTTAAAATAGATTCTTATGAACCATATATTATTAAAAATGCATTTATAAATAAAATACAGAACTGGGAATGGTTATTTGTGGTTTAGCCTAGTGACAAGTAAATTCAGAGACAAGTAATTTTGACTTACGTCGTTTTTCGACTTAAGTCGCCTCTCCTGGAACCAGTTACCGATGTAAGGTGAGGTATACCTGTAATGATATTTTATGTTATCAGTTTTTGGTAAAGATAATAAAGCATTTTAAATTAAATAGTCACTGTACTCATTAGTGGATCCAGATGAATCCAAAGGAGCTGTTTCAAAAATTAACAATATTTGAATAATTATAAGTATCTTTTACTAACAGATGCAAGATGATTGTATTGTAGATAGTCTATTAAACATCTTTGCCATTATAAATGTTTTTAAAATCAATATTTTGAAGTTCAAACAAAGTTTTTTTTTTGTCAGTGGGAGACTTAAGCTCCTAGCTAATTTCCATGGATCTGCTCCTGATTGTATTGTAATCAAATATGTTATTCACATGTTATCCCATGTAGAAAAGTGCTAACAATCTAATGCAGTAGTTAAAAAATCCTTTATGAAAAATATGAAATTAAATTAATATCATGAAGTTACAAATTACAAATATTATCCACAAGTGATCACAAAATTCTAAGAAAGAAAAAACTCGACTTCATGTAACATCTTCAGTTTTAGGTTTGATATCTCAAAAATGTTAGATTATGAGTCAGACACGAGAATTGAGGACTATTGTTTAAAACTTCTTTTCACATCAAAGTGAGAGAGATATTCATGAAGAAACAGATACATATTAAAATTATTAAATGATGTAACAAAAACCCCATTAATTTATTTGATATTTTTAAAATGTGGTCCTCTAGATCAATGTTTTTCAACCATTGGTCCATAAAAAAATTTCACTAGTCCACAGAAAATATTTCTCTGTCGACTGGCGAAGTTTTTTTGCACCAGCAATCATCTGTAGTGATGCTGGTGCAGTTGATTACAGCTGACATTTAAATAGTAATCTAGAGTTACTGTATGAACTTTGTTGTGTACTGTACAGTAATTCCAGATAAACATATATAAGCATAATTCATAGTCATATATGATTATTAGTCCAAGTAAAATTATTCATAATTTTACCAGTGTGAATGAGAAAAGGTTAAAAAACACTGCTCTAGATCCTTACTTCAGATTCCTTACTGCATACATATCCATTATATAAATTACCAGTTTAAATATAGTATGTGAGAATGTGGCTCTCATATTTCTCATTGCCAATAATATATGGCTTCTATCATGACAAGTTTTGGTTAGCACTGATATACAGGGTGTTTCTAAACGAAGGTACAGTTTTAAAAATTAATAATAAATCTATTTATTACCTTATATGGGCAAACCTTACAGCAAAAGCAGCAGTAACTGTCCAAGTTTTTTATGCATTAATCACAATTCTTCAATATGTGCACCCATGATCACACAACACACATCTACACAGTAATCAAATTCTTCCCATATGCGGTATAACATGTCCTCCATGATGGTTTGCAGTGCATGCTTTATCTGATCACACAGTTTCTCAAGGGACACGAAAATTGACGATACATAAACTCGGTCTTTAACAAACCCCACCCAAAAAAATCGCAGTGTGTTAAATCTGGTGAACAGCGTGGCCAGGGGAGCAGGTTTTTGTCTGCTGTTGCACCATGTCCAATCCAGCATTGGTGAAGAACGCGATTAAGAAGCGAAGCGAAGAGCGGATAGCACATAAAAAACTTGGACAGTTGCCACTGCTTATGCTGTAAAGTTTGCCCATATAAGTTAATAAATAGATTTATTATTATGATATAATGGTACTTATCAATGAAAATAATATGGTACTTCTCAATGAAAATGATATAATGGTACTTCTCAATGAAACAAGATTAATACATACTGGTAGGAATTGGACGTATCTGAAACATCTAGAGATTCTCGAAACATACAAAGCTAATTTTTGAAACATGGTCATAAATTACAGATGCAGATACATTCTCCAAAGCATAGAGATCTATTTTTGAAGTAAGACTATAAATTTAATCTTATTATTTAAAAAAATTATCATTTTTAACGTCAGCATGTTTCAACCAATGAAATGATTGCTCTATGCGTTTTTAAAGTAATGTTTGAATTTTTACATTGATGCTCAACTGGCTTTAACCAGATGATGACAATTTAAAAATTGCCGAAAACATTTGTTTTTCATTAGTTTTAGTAAGTATAATTTGTGCTAGATATTTCTGGTATATTTATGTGCATTGAACTTAATTAATTTAGTTTTATATAGTATTAATATATGAACAAGTTATAAGGTCTCCTCATTTTTTCTCAAAAAATAATCCAAAAAATACTTTTGATGAGACAAGGTAATGCAACTCAAGGGTGATCTATCAAGGAAATGTACTTCCTGGACATTGGAAACTGGCCTTTACCTAGATGTCAGATGTGTGAAGTAAACTCAGAAAACTTCACATAATCAATCTGTTAGTTAGACACAAACCTGAGACCAACTACCAATGTTCAACAGTTTTATCCACTTAGCCACTGATGGGCACACCCAAATATACTTTTATGATTGTTTTTTAAAATAGTTGTCGTTTACGTATAGCCTATAATGTAACAAGATGTACACAAAAGTTTATATCATTGTGTAATGTTAACGTGTCAATTACAATATTTTAAACAGCAATATTTAAGATGACAATGTTTATTTATACAGAATAAGAATAATAATTGTATCTCATTGGAAAAACTTCCAGAAAATTTACTAGACAAATTTATTAGAAATTGTTATAACTCATAAGTATGTCCAGAAGGCTATATGAATGTTATGACCTTATGGACACACTACCACTCAGAAATTCCATGTTGCTACAAATGTGAAGAAAATGGTAATTGCTGTTTTGCAGGATTGTGATGGAATAATTTTTACACACTGTGTTCGAGGGTACTACAATGACAGGTAGTTCATATGAAGTGATTCTGTAGTGAAACTTTGTTCTAGCATTTCAGAAACAATATCATTTAATTTCTCATCATATTTGATGTTATCAGGATACTAATCCATGCAATTATGCAGTAAAGAAAAACCAGATCATTCACATCTATATTTTCCTGATCTTACATCTTGTAACTTTTGGTTGTTTCCAACAATAAAGGATGATCTGTGGCAGTAACTTTTCTAACCAACAAATAGCTACTTTTGCCATGTATCGGTCAAACACACATTTCCAAAGAATAGATATTACTTCTAGAAGACTATATTGAAAAGTGATATAAATTTTATTTCAGTATCTTGTACATTTAATGAAGAGAAATAAATTTGGAAACTATAACTTGAACATTCTATATTTGTAGATGGTTCATAATTAAATAAATCATAAATTATTTAAATTAATATTATTTATAAATTAAAATATACAAAAATTTAAGTTGTTGTAGTGATAAAAACTCATAATGTAAAAATTAGTTTTAAAAATGTAATAAAAATGTCTGAAATTTAAAACCTCTTTTGTAGGATGAAGAGCCTCCTAAAGTTCAGTTGTTAACAACTGTAGCAACACCTGTTATAGATAAAAGGAATACTTCTGTGAGTATTTTCACAGATAAAATAAAAATATATTTAAAAGTTAACAGATTGTCATAAAAATATCTTTTTAGAATTTTTAAAATTAATAATTGATTTATTCTTGTTATAATTGTAAGTATGGTACATATGTATTGTATCATTAACCTTGTATTGATTCACATCAAACTTGTATTTTTATTCAAGTTTAAAGAATCCAGTATCACTTTTATTGCATAACATTTTAATTTAACAAAATCTGTGAATTTTAATCAACTGAACTGGGTTATTTTCAAATTATAAATAAAATGATTAAGCCAATACATTTGGTCTAAAAGTAGGCAGTTATGCTGCATCTTGGATTGATAATAATAATTAAAAATTTAATTTAATTAATCAAATAATTTAGAACATTTTAAAAGATTGATTCAGAGCTGGATACAAACCTGCAACTCTTTTTCACTATCAAACTACCAAAGTATTGTAGATACAAAATAGTATTTTGTATCTACAATACTTTGTCTGTGTGCCTACATTTCAATGGTAAGATTGGAGTCAAACAGTGGTCCAAATCATAAAATTTAACATTTTATTTTAACCAAGTACTGTACCTGATATTTACAAGAGGAACAGGGCGAATAGACAATTTTACTGAATAGGGAGTGATGTTTATACAAATGTTCAGCAGATAGCATGCATCTCCTTGTTTATATCAAACTTTAGGTCAGAGGTCAATATCCATGATGCCCTTTGTACTATAGGTTTCAGTTGATCTGTGAATTTACTGTACAGCTTATCTTTATGACAATTAAAAGTTAAAATTAAAATAAGTAAAACTTTATTAAATTGTTATTCTGTACAGAGGAACAAAAGATCAATTATTGGAAATAATTGAATGAGAATATATATCAATAATTTTTATTTTAGCACAGATATTGAAAAAAATAATTTGAGAAATAACTTTAAAAACATATTCTTAATATTTTGTAGTGAAAACTTTAGCTTGAACAACACTTTAAAAACTTTTTCAGCAACTCTATAATTTATTTAAAGAAACGTCTTTTATCATTTTCTAAGTTATAATCTTTGAAAAGGGTTGAAAACATTTGTTTAAATAAATTATAGCGTTGCTGAAAAGGTATTTAAAGTGTTCATGCTAAATTAGTTTTAGCTCACAAAGAGAGGGCCAGATGTTTGGGTCTTTTGACTTGAATGAAACTTGGTGAGCATGTAGCCCTAAACACAAACAGCTTTTTATTCAAATAATAGGACCCACTTCTCAAGCATTTCTGAACAACTGGACTCTGAAAATTGAGTGTTTGGAAGTTTATGAAAGTCTTTGGAAGTTTTGGAAGTTTTTGAAAGTCTTTGGAAGTTTTACTTCTTGTAATGGTGATAGCCAAGTGGATAAGATGCTAGCCAATGAAGCTACAGTATGTAGGTTTGAACTTTTGCAATTTCAGTTTTTTTATGTGTAAAATAATTAATTTTTAGATATGGTGATATTTGTTATATTTGACATGAGCACATGAGGAAATAGTTCATAACATTAACAATTAAAAACACGCTGCGACTATATACCCTATTTTTATCAACCATGTCTCTTTTGTCTATCTGTGGTAACATCTGAAGCTTATTTGCTTGTAGGGACATAGTATGTAACCATGTATGAAAATATCTGAAAATAAATATGAAGAAATAAAAATTTTTTTTCACTAAATACAAGAGTTAAATCTATAGAGACTTCAGTTTTGCTAAACAGGAAATGATGTCATGTATTTTTGTTTTATAAGCTTTAAATATGAGGAATAATAATAGTAATAATAATGCTAATGATATGGTAAAATAATAAAATAATTATGTTACATATTAATATATTAAAAAAAACTGAAATTGCAAAGGTTTGAACCTACATCATTTACCTCCAGTGCCTAGTGTTTTATCCACTTAGCTATTGCTGTTATAAGAAGTGAAACTTTCAAAGACTCGTAAGCTAAACACTCAATTTTCAGAGGCCCATTTTTCACAAATGCTTGAGAAGTGAGTCCTATTATTTCAATAAGGAGCTGTTTAGCTCCTTGTTGAAATAATAGGACCCATAGGGCTACATGCTCAGCAAGTTTTGTTTGAATTGGAAACCCAAATGTCTGGATCTGTCCTTGTTAGATTGAAGTGTTTTTAGTGAAAACTTTATCTTGAAATACAACTTGACATTTCTTTTTTAAAATGGATCAGTTTAATTAAATTAAAATATAGTATTTCTCTATAAAACTCCTTTTGAAATTCCTGAAAATTTTGTCTAATCAAAAAATAATTGGGCTGCAATTTTCAAAAATTGTACATCTGTAAATTCCCATTGGTGTCTGTTTTTTTTTTAATCTTAAGAATGGAGTTAGATTAATGAAAGGTTCATGCTAAATTATGAGCAAGACCAGATATTAATGAAAGGTTCATGCTAAATTATGAGCAAGACCAGATATTAATGAAAGGTTCATGCTAAATTATGAGCAAGACCAGATATGGAAAGCTTAGGGACAGGAGGTCCTGATTAACTATAAATGAACTACTGGTTTTCACTGGAAGTTGTTATTTCAGTTCAAAAATTTTTTCCTGAATAGAGTTAGATAGATGACTGGTATGACTATTGTTGACAGGAAAGGTGTGATGTACTGTACAGGGGTAAGACACTATTAAAATTGAGAACATTGTAGCCCAGCATTGTGACATGTCACAATAAATAATTGTTTGTTTAAAATTATTAAGTAAATTGAAAATTTTTAGGTGAAATATAAATAATAAGTGAAATAATGTTTATAGAAAACTTTAAAATTATTTTAAAAATCTANTATATATATACTTACTGCTGCATCAACATTGGCTGGGGATTCATCATTGGGATCTGCAAGCATGGATATGACTGAAATCAAAATAGTTTCAACTGTATGGACAGGTAACCAACGTTCAGATGCTTTCTCATAGCCAAACTTATCATCTCCAGGTTCATGTAATATAGATATGCACACATCACCTGTTTTATCAACTGTGAATTAAAAAAAAAAACATAAATGAATAAATACATCATTAAGCTATTTTATTTTGAAAATTGTACACTAAATTATTGTAAAACTAAAAGCAATCATATTAGACAAAGTTATCTTATTACATAAAATTAATAAATTAAACACATTTTTAATTGTAATTACAGCATTATATCAATCAGATATTTAGACTAATAAAAGTATAGTTGATTCCCATTTATTCGGCTCAAATAGGACAGAGACCAATCCGAATAATCCAGAAAATTTGTTAATGACATAAATAAAAGTTTAGATGTACTGTACATTATATTTTATTTATTGCACATTATATGAAGCGTGCAATGCCATAGTGTTGTAAATGCTATTTTTCTCTAAATACGATTTATTGAAAAATTAAATTCTAAATGCAATATTTTCTGCCACAAAAGAATATTGTGGTGATATTGGCACTATAAGTGGATGTATTTTGAAGATGAATTTATGTAAAGATAAATTAAGGCGACAGAGTGCAAGTCACATGACTTTTGGTGCTTAAAACTTTAAAATTATTTTAAAAATCTAACTGCTTTTAATTAATTAAAATTAGCAAAGAAAAGACTTAGACAATGATTCAATAGACAATTATTTCATTAAATATTTTCGATAATCAGTTCCAGAACTGCAAAGTTGAAAAAATAATAAAATTTTACACTTGCAGAAAATTCTGGCACCAAGAACTTAGCATCTGAAGAACATTTAACAAAATAAATAATGTTTATTGAATCTTTGTCTAAAATTTATTTTTATCAATATGGGATCAAGTAGTTTATTAACTTTTCTGTCTACCATAATTATTTCAAAGAATTGTATAATTAAAGAGCTATTATACAGTAATACTTTTACTTTCAAGTTGTTAAATTAAGGAAATAAAATAATGCTTATCTTCTAATGTAGAATAAAATCCTTTTCTTTAATTAATAATTTCATTTAAATAAAAAATTAGATAGAAAATTTGCAATTTATTATTTATATTTTTTAGTTTATTCATTTTTTCAAAAAACTTTGATATCTTATTAAAATTCCACTGTTAATATAAAAAATAAAAGTTTGACTTTTTTTTTTTTGTGCAAGCGGACTAAAAAATTTTTGGCCGCCAAGCTAATATGATAAAAAAAATTTATCTTCAGGTGTTACTAATTACTTTATCTTCTTAAACAAAGTTTTTATAAACTATATTTATTAATTCCATGTTCTCATTAATTTTAAACTTAATTTCTTTAGGGCTAATTGTAGTCAGAATACAATAAACTATTAACATAAATTTGTAAATAAGGAAAAAGAATAAGTAGAATGTCAACATGTTTAAATATCTCCAATAAAAATATTTTTACAGAACATAAACATAAATAAATATAATTTTTGAATACACATGAAATCTTAAATGGTAAAATTAAATAATCAATATAACACAATTATTAAAAATATAAAAGTTGAAAAATTAAATGTGAAATCCTTAATAACATTACACTGATATTTAAGATATATGAATTTTGTAGAATAAGATGATAAAATTTTATTATATTAAGCATTAATGTCAATTTTAATGTACATTAACAGTAGCATAACCAGAAGCTTGGGATCCCCTTACCCTTTGTAAATAAATCAATGAAGAAGAAACTTAGATAAGTACAGGAAAAAGATTTGAATGTGATAAATTTACTTATGCACATATTTAAACAATATCTTAGTTTACTCTTCTTCTACAGTTCTAGTGGCTATGTTTACAGTAGTACAACAGTGAATGTAGGTTTGCACATTCTAATTAGGATCCCCCTAATATCAATTATAACTTAGTTATGCTACTGCACATTATTGTTCTCTAAAAATTGAGTAAGAAAGTATAACCATGTTATAAGATTTTATTTAGAATTCATATATCATTAACAATCAGATATTATTCTAATTGGAGATAGTTTCTTAATTAAGTTTGTGTAGAATCACATATAATATCTCCAATATTCATAATGTTGAAATTTATCTTAATGTATTATTGATATGTATGATGCTGAAATGGAGACGATGAAATACTATATCAGAATATAAAATTGCATAAATGTCTAATTGCTCATGCATGTTTAATTTACTTCAATTACATAATACAAAAGTCTTTTTTATTAATATTTTGATTTAATATATTCATGTTATTAAAGGATGTAATAGATAAAAAGTAACACCTCCAGAATAATATAGAAATATTATAAAAATTTTATTTTTTGCTTTGAAAATGTTGTAAATATTTATTATATTTATTTTTGCATTCTGTAAATTATTTCTTGTATTAAAGATATTACATGTGATGCTATTCTATTATTCTTTCCTAAGATTTTCAAATTTATGTTTAAAGTTTATTTTAGTTACATTTAAGTTTGAAGAAATTAAGTTAAAAAAAACGAAATTAATAAATGTACAGTTTATCGTCTTAGAATTTTTATAAAGTATCAAATAATTACAGTAGAAGCTTGGTTTAGCAGACACTCTCAGGATCAAAGACTTTGTCCATTTAAGTCAGGTAATCATTAAAACTTGCTGAATATTTTACAATATCTGGTGTTTTTAAATAATAATACATGGTTTTGTTTTGTACAAATGTGTAATAAGAATAGAAGTCAAAAAATAACAAAACAATTGCTGAAATTAAGGGCCTATTTTTATCCAGTAATTATTCAATTGACACTTCTAGTGCCACATTGTGTTAAGTGCCATTTTGTACTAAATTCAATAATTAGAAATTAATGATTAATTAATTTAGAGAAATCTAAGTTAACTGAAAGAAATGACTTAGCATTGAGGCAACAAAAATTGCTAATTATTATCTTAAGTTTTCCAAGTAGGATATTTGCTAATTTTCCCATGACTCATTTGATTTATTCTACTTATGTTATTCTTTTCATTTTCACAATTCTGTTTTTGTAATGTTTCCCTTCTATTAAATAAGACAGGGTGTTGGTGTTACTCTATCAATGTTTGATATAAAGAATATCAGAGTATTATCTAAAATTAGAACTATAAAAATGTACAAAACAGATGACACTGAAAACAAGCATGGTAGAATATAGTAAAACCTGTAGAAAACTATAGAAAACCTATAGAAAAACTTTTACAATAAATAGTACCACTCAATCCTCAACAACTCAAACAAACACAACAGTGGAGCCAACTACGGTAGCAAAAACAACTGCTACTTCAAAATCTTATATTGTTTATCAGATTTTGCTTGCATGCCCTATCTATCACAAATACTTTATTGTTCAGTGATTTTAGTGCTGCACTGATTTTGCTCACTTCAACATTTTTACTGTATAAAATGGAAACCTGCATAAATGGAAAAGATTCTTTAGAATGGAGATTTTTTTCATATTAAATCTTTCTGTAAGTGAGAAACCTGTCTAATGCAGAAAAAGAAGAGGTTTTTGGGTACAAACAACATAATTTTCTACTTTACCCAGATTAAGTTACAATTCCACTTGTAGACAAATAAGTAAAATCACCTACAAGTATAATTGTCATTGTAGAGAACAAGAAGAATAGGAAATTTTTATCCTGTGTCTTCAGAAGGCAATGCTCTTTTTAATCAAGGTGATACATTACCTCGATTACATTAATTCAGATACGTTAATAATCTGTTACTATTCTGGAATCAGAAGTTTTATTTATTAGGTACAGATGTTTACTAAACCCAGTGTCCATTAAAACCAAATTTCATTGTAGAAATAGCCTGAAAGTATTTTTCTTCCTTATCTTTCTTATTTTTCATAGAGATAAGGTAACTTTCATTTTCTATAAACAGCAAAAAAGTAATAAAATTACACTTTTGCACATCTTGCATTTTTTTTGTCATTTATATAAATATATTCAATATTAAAATTTTAACATAGGTATATTATATTAGTTGAGTTTCATTCATATGTAATTTTATTGTATATGGAAATTTTTAGCAATAATAATATGATAAAATAATTTATAAATTATAAAATAATATTTTGCTATATACTAAACATACACTACTATATATAAATAATTTTTTTTTTTTTTAAGGCTCATTTGGCAGATTTATTAGGTGTAGCTGGTATAGATGTGCCTATAGAAGAATTTATGAAATTGACACCAGCATACAAGGTAATTTTTTATAAAGAAAATTTCAAGAGATAATTTTGAGAAATATTTTTATAAAACTAATTTTTTAGGAAAAAGGCTATAAATTATAAAATTATAAATTCAGAAATTTAAAAATTGCAATTATTATTTTATAATTACACTATTTGATAGAAAAAATTTTAAAATAATGCTTTATCTAAAGTTTTAATCCATTTTATTTTTATTATACTGTACATTATAAATACTATCATTGAATTCATATTAACAACTGCAATTGCTAATCATCAGCTTCACACTAATTGATTTGTTGGTATTTTATTTTATTAAACTATAGAATTACCAATTTTAAGATTAAAATTTGGTGTTATTATGATTATTGTTTATTGATAGGTCAAGAGAAGGTATTTATATATAGGATATGAATTTGGATATGAATTTTTCAATGGTTTAAATGGTTAAATGGTTTAAAGTTAGTCAAAGTATTTGAAATATTTCTAAAATCTATATTTGAATAGGTCTATAAATGAACTAATTCCAAATCTGTTGACAAATTTATTCATATCATCTTATATTTATTTCTACTGTGGCCGCCAGCGCCAGAGATCCTGAACACTGTCTGGCAACACTTGCCAAGATCACGAACTCTGTCTGGCAACACTTGCCAACAAGAGTGGCTGGCAACGTCTAAAAAGAAAAGGCGCGAAAGTTCGTTGGATTTTGTCCGGGTGTTGCCCGAGGATGTCTGTGACAGTTCTAACCTTTTCTAATAAAGTTCTTTTTTGTTACCGTTCGTGTTTGCCTGCTTAATGTTAGATCTAAACATCAGTAGGATTGAATGACAAACTACCATTTTTTTATCATTTGACATATTATTAAATGATATTGATTGGTATTTTTAGTAAGGCAATGTTCTTTGAAATGATGACTCAAACACTAAATACAGATGTGATTGATTAGTTTTAGGATTAAATTCTTCGTCAGAGAAATATCATAAGTCGTGTATCTAAGTAAAGCTGCAAACAAATTTTTCATAGCTATTGTAATAGTAATTGTTTACATTTACTATTGTTTTCTGAACAGCTTATCCAATTGTTCAGTTTGAGAAAGCAAAGCAGGCACTTTACTTTTGTGAGAATTTGGGGGTGACAGATTATTATTCTCAACCCTGTTTCCAATGTCAGGATGGTGAGCCCCACTCACTGTGTCATTGGATGGCTTTTGTTAGTTAACAGAAAGATCATTAAGATCTTCTGATTGTCTAGGATTCCTGACACCAGTTAGGATAATTATAATACGTGTCCTAACTTGTGAGTGTAGTAAACAAAGGTTGAGTAGGAAGGCTTTATCCCCAACCTGAGTGGCTAATTCGGGAATTAGTACAGAGGGTAATTCATAGTTCGAGTAGGGAGAGCCATAGATAAGTTGATACAGAATCTGATCTCCAAAGAAGGCAAGACTTAGGTGAGTTAACCAATAAAACAATTTAATAAGCTAAATAAAACAGTGGTTACATAAAAAGGGATTAAATACACTGGAGGGCAAAAATTAAGTTACAAGTAGTTTTTGCATCATAACTTTTGAAATAAAGCACCAAAACGTTTTGAAAATGTAGACATATATGCAAATTTACATGACGAATAAGAAAATAGCAAAATATTTTGTCAATACGCAAATTACATATGTTTAATTCAACCTTTAGTGGTTTGCTGGTTAGAACGCTTCTTTGACTTTGCTGTTTTTTGTAATCAAACTTTATTTAAACTGCTTTTTTTTAATTAAGGCATATTCATTATCATTCTAATGGCTTCTAGGCATTGTTTAGATGATTCTTTAAGATGGCGTGCTATTGGATGGATGGAAATGGGGCTTAGTCAAGCTGATGCAGCAAGGCACCTAAAAGTTTCAAGAATGGTGGTTTCACGGCTCTGGAAACAGTTTACAGTTAGAGGAGATATCTCCAGAATTCCTATGGAAGGACGTCCAAGAGTTACCACACCGCAAGATGACTGGTTTTTGAAAGTAACTGCCAAACACAATAGAGGACTAACACACAGGATGCTTGCTTCTGAGCTTGAATCAGTCACAGGAAAAAGAATTTCTGTCAGAACTGTATCCAAGAGGCTTGCTGCTGTTGGTCTTTATGCAAGACACCCAGTTGTGTGTATTCCATTGTCACTGTTCAACAAAAAAGCACACTTGAATTGGAGTTGTCAACATCAAGACTGGACAGAGCACAACTGGAGCAAAGTTCTCTTCACAGATGAATTCCGCTTTAGCCTACAGAGTGATTCTCAAAGATGATTTATCTGGAGAGAGGCTGGAACACAATATACGCCATAAGAGAAAAAGACAACTTCAGTGGAGGTGGTGTGATAGTCTGGGCAGGCATCTCTCTCACTGGGTGCACCAAGCTCCATGTCTTTGAAGGAGGTTCCTTAACAGGTCAAAGGTATCGCGATGAGATCCTCGAGCATTATATTCATACAATGGCTCACACAGAAGGCACAGATTTCTTATTAATGGACAATAATGCTCGTTCTCACAGAGTGAACTTGGTGACTCAGAATCTTCAAGACATTGGAATCCAAAGAATAGACTGGCCATCCAGGTCTCCAGATTTTAACCCGATAGAGCATACTTGGGATGCCTTTGAAAGATGGGTGGAAAGTTTCTGTCCCCCACCCAGAAACCTTGATGAGCTCAGGACTACTCTCCAAAGAGTATGGATTTTAGTTCCTAATGAATTGATAAATAACCTTGTAAAGAGTATGAGAAGCAGGTGTCTATCATGTATTGCTGTAAGGGGTGGTCACATGCCCTATTGAGTGAATAAATTTGTTATTTTAATAAAGTTTCTATTTTATTTTAAATTAAGAATAAAAAAAAACACTTGTAACTAACTTTTGCCCTCCAGTGTATATCGATTAAATACAATTCAACAAACTAGCTACTTATATCTAAGTTGACCAAGAGAGAGAGTTTACATAAATTGGTTCATAATACCATTAGTTGACTAATGTCTTCTGATCGATAGTATTGGTAGGGAGATTTCTCGGGAGAGACAGGAGATGACAATTGTGACAATGTTGACAGACGAATCTTGGGTCACCGAGCTTTGAGGGTGGGGTCCACCTTGAACCTCGAGTGCAAGCCCATTATATTATCATCATCAGGTGTGGGAATTTGATCAGGTGATTCTCTGTCACAGCTGCGCCCTGGTGAGCAATTATAAGAGTTTGTCACAGGATTTTGATGACTTGGGTGAAGGTTTGTTTCCATTTTGTTATTTGATTCTCACCACCACGTAATTGTTTAAGTGTTGTGATTCACACACACCCACAATCAGTCATTATTGTTTGTTACATAAATATTTCCACATGAAAAAAAGGGGGTCTCTAGACTCTCACATTTTTATCATTACCTCTAAGCATCTTAAGACTTCAAAGAATGAAATTAAAGAATAAGCTATTTTATCTGTCATCATCACTTGGTATCCCATTCTTATTATTAATTTATTGTGACTTATATTCATGTACAATGAATTTTTGGTGCAAGTATATTTTTTTCTAAATGAAACAGTAGACAATACCATCACAATTACACAAAATCACTACATTTAGCAGTTTAATTATATAGTCTTTCAATATAAAAAATCAACATATGAAAAATACAGTATGTTAGATTTATGTAATTGGTCAAGTGAAGATTATATAAAGTGTTATTAAAAGTAAATGTTACATCTGAAAAATAGATAAAATTTAAGTAAAAGATTTTCTGCTCATAAAGCACCAGAAGTCAAAGTAAGTAAAAGATTATGTAATGATGTAAGAGCTATAAATAGATTAATCATTGTTTATCATAGATTAATCAAGCATGTATAAATATAATTAATCAACAATTGCAAGAGCTAGTAGCTCTTGCAATTGTTGATTAATTATATTTATACATGCTAAAGCAGCGGTCCCCAACCTTTTTATCGCCACGGACCAGTCAATGTTTGATAATTTCACTGCAGCCGCTGAGGGGGATGTTGATTTTTTATATTTTAGATTGTTTTGATTTAATAATTTTTATTTAATTGTATTTAAACATGCCTTCAAAATAAAATACAGTTACACCAAAAAAATGAATATAAAGCAATTTAATATTTTAACTCACTAGAACGCTAAATCAATGAGAACCCTGAGCTTATTTGTTTGCAATGAGACGGTTCCATCTGGGAGTAATAGGAGACAATGACATCCGAAGTGTGTTACTTATGTCCAGTTTATTCCGTTGTTTTGTTTTGGTTGCTGTCACTGCAGAAAACCCCACTTTACACAGATAGGATGTCAGAAATGGCAATAGGGATTTAAGTGCTGTGGTGGCAATCTCAAGGTATTCCTCATGATTTTAATCCAGAACACCGGCAGAGTTGTTGTCTCGAACGTAGTTTTAAGGCCGCTGTCATTTGCAATCTCCAGCAGTTGATCTTCTTCTTGCACAGACATGCTAGATTCGCCTGGTTTGTTGACAAATGGGTCGCGGATCCATTCCTTACCAGTTTGTGGGTCTTTTGCGGTTGGGAAGTAGTGCTCAAACTCTTTTAAAAGCAAAGACATGGTATTGGTAAATGCATGCACAGTATTGGTGCAGTTTTAGGTGACGACTCTCAGCTCCCGTTTAACCACTCATCCATTAAAAGTTGTACAAACCCAAGAGAAATACACAACAGTAAATAAAATGGAAATAATTTAATGTTCCTTGGGCGGCCTGGTACCATTTGATCCACGGACCGGTACCGGTCCGCGGCCCGGGGGTTGGGGACCACTGTGCTTAAAGCATGTGGAAAACAGAATGGATTTGTCATAATATAATATAACCTTATGATCTTAGTGATAATACTGTCTTCACATTATTATGTTGTCAGTCAAATTAGGCTTATTTATTATATGGACATTGTGATATTATGTAATGATTTTAACAATGTTAGCATAATATTTTCATGATTTTTGCTAGGGTATAATGATTTTATGTAGATTCTATATATGAAACCTTGAAGTTAGTGAAATGTTTTTCATAAGCCACATTTTATCACTGTTGTTATATAATAAAATAATAAATTATGTTAAAATTTTTTAATACTTTTTGAATAGTTTTTTTAATTATAAAAAATTAACATAATTTATTTTATAATATTTTTTTATATACTTTTTTTTAGTTAGGTGTAAATGGATATTCATTTGCAATTACCAACAATGGTTACGTTTTATACCATCCTGATCTCCGTCCAAGGGTATGTTGTAATTACTTGTATTTTAATTCTTGTTAATAATTGTAACAAATTTATTATGTATTGTTAATTCATAATAAATTTATCAATAATACTTCATTTATTACTGTATATTGTAATTTGAACTTGGTTTCAATATAAATTTTTCATTTTGTTAATTGGATTTTCTTCTAAAGATAAACTGATAGTTTTTTATTTTTTAAATACCATGTTTTTTTACATAATCAAAATTTTAAATAATTTTAAAAATAAAGAAGAAATAATAGCCATTAATCGTTTCTCAGTCACTGTTACATCCCCTACGTCCATGCATGGTGATCACTTTTTTGGCTTTGATGTATGCCATAAATTCATAAGCCACTAATAACTATTAGGTTGTTTGAATTTCCGTCGGATGAATAATTATTTTTGTACAAATTAAAGACAAAGTCGCTCTAAAAATTATTTCAGATGATCACCATTTTTATTTAGTGTTCTAGAACAAATCATAGACAGCTGGACCTTCCTTTTTAGGCTACACAACTGCGACACTTAAAAACGTTCCTTAAAAACACAAGAAACCAATAAAGATTAAAAGAATTCTTCTTTAAAATTGGAATGGTAAATCTTACGACGTCTTGTTAGTTCATCCTTGTCCATTTGGATTTCTGGCTCCTTTTATCTACTGAGGATTAGCGCTGGCAAATGTAGATTATGCCAAGATATCCCTCTGGTGACGAATTTTAACGATATATTTGAATTTCAAAATGATATATTTGAATATATTAGATTGTTTTAAAGCAGACAACTTTTTAATTGGAAATAAAATTACTTGCTAATTTCATGCTTCTTTATTGAAATGAAGGAAAAAGCTTCTCTTGTAAACTCCAAGAAAAAACTAGCAATGAATTGTGTAACTTTCCTGGCTTTTATGAGATTTTATTTTAAACAAATTTTTTTTAATTGTTTAATTGCCAAATTTTGTTTCTTAATCTTTACCCCATCCTGAGATATCAAGCAAAATAGATGTCAACACACACACACATACATATCCATGGAATTTTTTTTTTACTTTTTTGGGTTCAGGAGGTCTCAAAATGTGGAGCTTTGCAAAAAACTCAGAAGGTCAAATTTGCATAATTCCATTACTTTCCCTTGTTATGTATATACGTAACAGCTGAAAAAGTAATAAAAGAGTTGACAAGGAAATTTTACCTATTTCATGAGCTGTTTAAAATGGGTGCACCATGTTACCTAACAGTATGCAAGATGACTCAAAATATTCCTCGATTTTCCTAAGCCAGTCAGTTGTTATCTATGCAGAAGCATCAATTATGCATTGTTGTAAATCTGTGACATTTTCAACTGCTGTTTGGTAAACCCTGTCATTTATGTAGCCCCAATAAAAAAAATCTAATAGTATCAAATCAGGAGAGTGGGAGTTTCCTCCCCACTTCTGATTTAATGCCATTTGAAGGTTGATTGGTGGAGGATGGAAATGAACCTCTTCCAGCAATCCACCAGGAAGGTGGAAAAATGGCATGTAAAGACATACTAACTGGAGGAGCCCAATGATGGGAGTGGGCTCCATTGTGTTGGTAGAAAATGGCATTATCAAGAGCTTCAAATACTTTTGGGAATTAAAGATGCTGCCAATAAAAAAATGGCCCAAGAACTTGGTCAAGTAATCATTCGATTAACACTCTGCTGATATTGAGTGTATTTCATTTGCAATTGATGCAGATTTTCCTGTATCCAATAGCACATTAGTGACATTTACCTTGCTGCAAACAAAAAGGATGCTACATTTATGAAGCAAATTTGCCTGGGAATGATAGGGTTTATATTGCCGAGATCCATGAACATTTCTGAAAAGTTTATCCTTGCCTTGCAGGCTTCAGGAAGAATATTAAAATTGATATATATTTAAAATATAAACACTAAATAATAGAAACAAAGTGAGACATTTAATATAAATAAATTGTTTAAATAACCATTGATTCATTTGTTTTTATGGCATGTGATAGGAATCATTCAGCTCATGTAGTACAATGTTTCCCAATGGGCAAAATTGCTGTCTTATGGATGAAAGTAGTCATTTGGCATAAAATTTCAATTGTAGACTAAGGAACTTTTAACTGTTTTTTCAGTTTGTTTCTTTAAAGGTTCAAACACTTACAAAAGATAAATGAATAATTTGAATGATTTTAAAATCATTTGTGATATTTCAAATAATTTTGATAATCAAATGATCAGTTGTTTTTCATTCAACTTAACTCATCACTAATTATGACTTAATTTAAATTTTTAGTTTTTGTTTGATTCCTGTATGTTAATTTAAAATTCTGAAACAATTCTTTAGATAAAAAAGTCATAAATTAGATGGCAGATAAATATTTTTGAGATTTCTTTAATCTTAAGCTATAAATTAACTTAGGAAATGATTAAAGTTATTAAACAAACAAATTTAAATTATTTAAATTTATTCAGATTTGATCTGAAGCTGAGAGGAACCTTGAAAATTATTTCCTAACTAATTTTGGACTTAAAAATCCAAAACAACAATATATCGGTTATAACAATATGAAATCTAAATAAACTTTGTTTAAACTTGACAAAAACTGGAAGTACTTAAACAAGAACATATACATACACCAAAACCAGTTATATAAAGTTATGTAATTTGAAAATGTCCATTTAAAATGGACCAAAACATTTGTTTTACTAAATATATTGAAATTACATATCTGGCTTTGGTGTATGTATGTGTTCTTGTCTAAATAAATAGTTTATAGTAAGCACAAAATATTCTTTTATTGTGAATGTTATGCATTATTTATTTACTATTAATAGCCTATAAATATTTTATTTCAGTTTGGTGAATTTTTAAAACCTGGTTACACAAGTGTAGATGTTACTGAAGTTGAAGCAGTGGTTGGAGAAATGAACTCTCCTTGGGTAAATATAATATACAATATAATTACATTATATATTAAATTATATTTTAAAAATCATAGGAAATAATTGGCTTTTCAATTCTTAACATGTTTTTCATCAAAATTTTTTTAGGTAATCTAAAAGCTTGTCTTAACAATTATTTTACACTTTAAAACTCAGACAATAAATTTGTTTATTGCATATTCAACAGCAGCAGCTAGAGATAAGTAGCGCAAAATTGCAGCACCCAAAGGAAAATAAAATCACAAAATAATGTCTTGATTTTTATTATTAATACATGATAATTATATAAATTATTATATACAATTCAAATGAATTTTTTTTAATCAAAACCAATACAGGAAATAAAAAAAACAGTTTTATTAGGGCAGTTGCATGCCATGCACCATATATTGTTAAACAGTGCATTTTTATCTCCCAATTGGAGAACAGTCTCACTTGTTCAGACATCACACAATGAAATATTACATATGACAGCACTGCACCATTTAGCATTGCTATTATAGTATGGCCACATGGCAAGAATTAATTACTGGATTGAAGCAGAGTGCAGAGTATTCTGTGACCTATAAATGTTAATAGGAAAAAGATAAAAATTTCAAATCCTGAAGTTTTTATACTTTTAAAAAATTTCACTAAAATATGCTTATATATAGATTATAATTTGTTATATAAAGTAGTAGTTGTTGCTCAGCCCTCCCACATTAGATAGCCCCAAGCTGTCACTAATATTCAGTACAATTAAATACATTGCTTTCGGGACATTCCAATTTTCAATGCTGACACAGTGCTGATCTCAACATTCGTTAAAATTTGTTCCTTTTTTCAACGTTGAGGTAGCACTATTGTCAGCGCTGACTCAACACACTCAGCACTCAACAGATATGTTGACTGCTACTTTCCAATGAATTGAGGGTAATTGGTAAGACATTTGAATGGAATCCATCTCGCTGAGAATGGAATTATGGAAACTAAGCACTTTGTACTCCAGTTGGAACATCATTGATGACGTCAAATTGTTGACTTCAACACTCAACACTCGCGTTGAAAATTGGAATGCCCCGTTTGATTTAATAAGTGAAGTTTTAAGTATGAATAATGATTTAAATTCATTTCATCACCAAGTAAACAATAAAGTGTACTTAAATGTATGTTTTACTCTTAAAATGTTGCTTTTGAATTATGAAGGTAATCCCAAAAGTAAGGTCTATTTTTAGAAATACGAAGAAACATTTATTTTCAATAATATTTACATAATTTTAAAGCTTGAACATTTATCTATTTTTTTACATAATTGCCATTTCGGTCAATGCATTTTTGTAAACACTGTGGTAGTTTTTGTATGCATGTCATACCAGCTCATTGCCATGTCACAGGTCCCATCTTGTGCACATCTTCCAATATTTCAACTTTTCCATTAAAATCCTATGAATGGAGCTTCGTGAAAGTCCAGGAACCAAAATGCAGAGATCATCCAGAGTGGTCTGCCGATTTTCATGCATGGTTTGCTCAATCCTTGAGACTGTCTCGTTGGAAATTGATGGACTTCCTCTTCTTTCTTTGTTGTAAATTTCAGTACAACCAACTGCAAACTCCCTACACCACTTATGGACATTTTTGACATTCATGCACGATTCGCCATACACTTCCATCAATTGGCAATGAATTTCAATCGGTTTAACATGACATGGCAGCGAACTAGTATGACATGGGCATACAAAAACTGTCACAGTGCCTACAAAAATGCATTGACTGAAATGGAGATTATATAGAAAAATAGATAAATGTTCAAGCTTTAAAATGATGAAAATATTATTGAAAATAAACGTTTCTTTGTATTTTTTTAAAAATAGGAGACGTTAATTTTGGGATTACCTCGTACAATTTGTTTTCAGTAACACAAATAGTGATTGTTACCTTTTACCTAAAACCAAATAACGTAGAAAGAGGGGAGAAGCTTTTAAATATATATAAATTTCAATATATGTTCCAATATTGGAATTTTTGTTTTTAAAATAGATCAACTCAAGTTTATTTTTCTCTTAATAAATCATTCTGTTTTTAGTATTAACAATAAAATTGACTGGGAAAAAATCAAACTTTAATTCTTGAGATTTTTTGAAAAATACATTACATGTAATTTAAAATTTTAATAAATTAAATTACTTTCTAAGATGATGATTTTAATTCAATATTTAATTTTTTTTCTGTAGGAATTTAATTCAACATTATTAGAAGTAAGTATTCTTGATTATATATTAATTAAATGTTTATTAATGCTATATTTATTAGTTTCCATATAACATTGATGTGTTATATATTAAATTATATTTTAAAAATCATAGGAAATAATTGGCTTTTCAATTCTTAACATGTTTTTCATCAAAATTTTTTTAGGTAATCTAAAAGCTTGTCTTAACAATTATTTTACACTTTAAAACTCAGACAATAAATTTGTTTATTGCATATTCAACAGCAGCAGCTAGAGATAAGTAGCGCAAAATTGCAGCACCCAAAGGAAAATAAAATCACAAAATAATGTCTTGATTTTTATTATTAATACATGATAATTATATAAATTATTATATACAATTCAAATGAATTTTTTTTAATCAAAACCAATACAGGAAATAAAAAAAACAGTTTTATTAGGGCAGTTGCATGCCATGCACCATATATTGTTAAACAGTGCATTTTTATCTCCCAATTGGAGAACAGTCTCACTTGTTCAGACATCACACAATGAAATATTACATATGACAGCACTGCACCATTTAGCATTGCTATTATAGTATGGCCACATGGCAAGAATTAATTACTGGATTGAAGCAGAGTGCAGAGTATTCTGTGACCTATAAATGTNTACATAAAAATATAAAATATTCTTTACTTTTTAAATCTTAAAACAATGCACTTATTCAAATAGCTCCCTACAAGTGGCTAATGGATGGTAGCATACTGGTTTTATGCAGGAAATACAATCACATTAATACAACAAAACATTATTACAAAAGCAAGTACAGTATGCCTAACAATAATTAATAACTAAAACTAATAAACAATCAATCAATTAAATAATCAAATTCATCAGGAGACTTCTCTGGGAAAAAACACAAAAACAAAGAAAATAACAAACATCTATCTAAAAAAATAAGAAAAAAGTTAATATCACATTAATCCAGCAGATAGTCTTCCAAAATCTGCAAGTATGTAACACACTTATAAAGTGACAGTACAATGACATCTATGAGACAATCAGGATATTTTATATATCTATATATACACATATACAATGCTGTAATAAGGCAAGTGTAACAGATGCACAGGTGTTCTCCCTCTTTCTATGCATTTTCTTCTAATGTTGTTTATTACTTCTCTACTGTAGTCATTGAAGATGTCGTTTAAAGACCGAAGCGGGTTTCGATTGACGGCAGTCAGTTTCTTTACCAGAGAGGAATCTTCCTCTAACATGGAGGGGCTGAGAAAGCAAGCAGAAAACTGAGTTTTCTGCTTTCTTTCCAAAGAAGAAGAACATCATGGATGATCGTAGTGAAATGCAAAAGAGAAAACGCACTCTCAGCCCCTTCACATTAGAGGAAGATTCCTCTCTGGTGAAGAAACTGACTGCTGTCAATTGAAACCTGCTTCGGTCTTTAAATGACATCTTCAACAACTACAGCAGAGAAGTAACAGATGCACAGGACCCAGGACAAAGAGGGTCCTGAAATGTGGCATTAAAAAGTAAAACCTTAATGCCTCATTTTACCTTAAAGTAAACAGACATCCTCTTGTCCAAATTAGTGGGTAAGAGGGTGTCTGTTAAAGCTGAAAGTCCATTATAGAATAAAGTAGGTTTTCCAAATGCATGTATTTTAAAAAACTGACAAATTAGTTAGTTAATCTGTTTTTATATATGCAGATATGTTTGTGTAATTAAAATTAAGAATGTATGAGAAGTTTAATTTCACAGAAAAGTTTTCTATATGTATTATTACTTATGTACTCACAGTAGTTCTGAACTGTAGTAAACAAATATAGGATCTTAATTGAAGCAGATAAACATTTTTTGGAAAATATACTTTAATAGTGTTGTGAACACCTTGCAAAGTGAGAAAACTGTTACTAACATTTTTAGTCTATTCGTAAGACCTTCTTCAAGTAGATTTTTCCGAAGTTGAATCTTTCTGATACTGGTGTTCTAGATTGGAATGTGTAGAAGATTCTCCCTAGTGTTTAAATTCAAATGGTTTTTTCTTTTAAAACTTTTCTCAAATATCCAATTTTTTTAAATATTCACAGTTTATGTTTTGCATATTATAGTGTTGGGTCCAATATAGCCTGCCATGCTTTCGAGATTGTTTTTCTTTCTTAAAATTGATGGATGGGCTCTGGTGATCTGCCTTAAATATTTCTAGTGCCTCTAAATTTCTGAGCTGATTTGTATGGTATGTTTTGCATGTTAGAGTAGCTTGTTGGAGTCTTGGTTTAATCTCGTTATCACTTTCATATAAAGCTGAAACAGTGGTTTGTCTCTTCTTTTCTACATCAGTCTTATGTTCAAGAAGGTGCTGCTTGAGAGACCTCTTTGTAGATCTGATGTATAGAAAGTCTATCAAATCTGTTCTCTTTAAGTGGAATTTTATAGACTCCTGGTGCAATTTTTGCACCATAGTATCATGCAATGTCTTGATGTAAAGAATGCATACGGTGTTCCTATGTTTTAACTTTATGATGTAGAGCAGCATCTTGCTGGGGTCTCTCATTGGAGTTGCATTCTGCTTGTTCCTGTGTTGATTTCTTTGCCCATGTTATATACTAAGCTTTTAGTGTAGCTGTGCATCTTGCAGTGGCGTGCCGTGACGTTTGATGATAGGGAAGCTGTGTTTCTATAAGAAGCCAACATCCAGGGGCAATCAGTCACTTGCGCGTCAATGATGGTCTAGGGTTCGTATCGTTTATTCGATAAGCCAGTAAAAACCGTAGACTTTTCTACATGTATTTTTAATATCGCAATTACATTCTGAATCGCTAGCCACGATATAAGGGCTACAATTAAAAATAAAATAATAAAAACTTACTTGGTGAAATAAAATGTGTGGTTGATGTACCAGTACATACCTGGTACAAAATATTCTTCAATTGTATGAATATACTTTTAAATTATAATTAAATATAGCTTTGTAAAGAAACGTACATAAAAATATAAAATATTCTTTACTTTTTAAATCTTAAAACAATGCACTTATTCAAATAGCTCCCTACAAGTGGCTAATGGATGGAATCGAAGACGGTTGCAGAGCGTGCATACACGCGGACTGCCAACTCCCCAGGGTGCCGATACCGGTCAATGTCAAATACCTCTTTCATCGCATCGCTAGTATATCTCAAAGGACGCGACAGGGCTGTTGTAGATTTTAAACGTTTCTCACCATAGCTGTAAAAATCTAAATATGTTAAACTTAAAAGTCATTTGTTTTCTAACTAATTCGTTTTAGGACCAGGGTCTATGGAAATTTCCAAAATTTACAACTTTTCGGTCACTCTCATTGAACTAGAAAAATTTCTCTCTTTATTACATTAATAATACGAAGAAATCAGTCTCCACTGTACTCGGCTAGAGATGGTTCGGTTAAGCTTTTGTTTAAGTAAAATTTTGGCTCTTTCATCAGGGTTTTGTTTATGTCCCAATTCCCTAATTGCTTAATTATTTAACTACGGTTACTTTGTACTCGAATATTTGTAGTCTTGGGAAAAAAGTGGAAAGACAAATTTTTATGACAAATGGATATATAAATCATAAATGTAAGGAAAATAAATTCTAGAGCTTTTTCTGTACCTTGTGCATCTCTCTCATTCATTAAATTTAGTTGTAAATGATGCTGTCAAAGTAAAAGTTAATTTTTTAACATTATACAAGAATTAACATTATACATCCCCTTAAAGATGGGATTACGAAATCGTAATATCACTGGTTTAACATTGAAATCCGTGAGTAATATAAAATCGGAGAGTGGAATAAAAATATCAAATATTTTAATGGATTTTTTTTAACCCCTGTCAACCATACAGAACTATCATAAAAACATACCAGTAAATTCTTATTGGTTGGGTTAAGTTATAAATCTACTTGTGATTCACATAATCAGGCGAGGGCAGCCAAATATCTAGCAGGCAAGCGGCTAACAGCCCAGATCCGGTCCTGGATAGAATTGGATGCAGTATACGTGTAGCATCCACCCAAGGTTCAAGGCTTCCACCAGCTAAACCGGGTGAGGTTGGTGCTCTGTAAAGCGCATGCACAAATCTGGCTTTTTGGTGCTGACAATACAGTGCTTCCACTCTGCCACTAATATTCAAATATACAATAGCAATCTTTTTTTTTCACGTGTAGTATAGAAATTTGTAATATGATACATAATGTGGTTATAATAAAATATTGTGTGATTATTTTCATATAATTAAAATTAATATGTATTTATTTTTTAGAAAGTACAAGGGAAGCGGTGCATCCACCGCTTCCAATGATGACATGCCACTGGCATCTTGGCAATTTCCACTATTCATTTTAGCTCCATTTTTATGTCTTGTTTCCAACTGCAGTGTGTGTTTCATTTAGGCTATGTATGAAGATTTTGACCTCCAGCGTAATTACTTCTGGTACTAATCTATGGGTTCCAGTTGCATACATTGGTCCTTTTTTAAGTGTGTTCTTGACATATTCTGGAGGGTCAATTCCATCCCAACAAACTATTGGGACTTGCGTATCATCCTAGTTTTTGGCTTTTGGCACTTGATAATCCAAATCCATTTCCTCTTATAGATCATTTTTTAGGTTCTGAGCCAACCTTTCCTGTATATTTCTAAATTTGCTATTAGCTTCAATTAAGCTATTATTGTTTTTTCTGAGAGACGATCTTTGAATTTAATCAGATTATTAATCCTTAAGCATCATATTCTGTGTGTTGTTCTAATTGCTTCTGCAAGCAAATAAATTTTAATTTAGGCAGTGAAGATTTACATTATTTTATTAATTACATGTATAACATACAGAGCAGTGACATAAAACAATATTTCTAACTTGTAAGTTAAACTAATGAAATCTAAGAAAATTTGTTAAAATCATTTGACTGTTGATAACAGATAAGAAATGAAATTTCAAATTTAAATTATCTTTGTAATTTAATCATAATCAAAATAATAAAGTAATAGTTTCTTTTAAATTAAAAACTATATTTATTTTTATGTTCATTTTTTGCTAAACAACTATTTACACCAAAAAAATAAATGTTATTTAATGTTTAAACCAAAGAATATTGTCTAATGAACAATTATTGTTGTCTAATGAATAATACAAAGAATGTCCAGAAATTAAAGAATGTCTATGAAAAAGTAAAAAACAGTAATGATAGAAAAAAGTTTTATTTAATAATTAGTACAAGACCAGTTACTTTTCTACATAGTTACCATTTCAATTAAAGCACTTTCAGATTGGGAAAGAAGTGAAAGTCACTGGAGACTAGGTTGGGACTGTATGGTGGGTGGTCAAAATTGTCCCAGCCAAATTTCTGAAGCTTGAGTGGCAGCAGTATAGTGCTTGATTAAACATTAAACATCATTTTCTCACACTTGCTTCATTCATATAATGTGATCACCATACACTTCTATGATTTCTTTATCAATTTCTATAGGATGAACTTTCTTCATGTTTAGAAAAAAAATAACACTTTACATTTTGAATTTGGTGGGATTTTCAATTTTTGTACACATTTTAACCCTTGACATAACAAAAAGCCTGCTGTTATTGAAATTCTACAGGTGCTAAGCTAACATATCAGAGAACAAATTGATCTTCAATTAATGGCTGTAATTTACCTGCACAGAGTGTTATGTGCAAATATTCTTTATTTTCTGAATGCCCTCATAATTGTTCATTAAACAACAAAAGCTATAGCCACCAAATATGAGAAGTTATCACCATTTGGCAAAAAACTACTGGTAGCTTATTCTCTATGTTCTGTATTCAACAAACACTAGTCAATTTAAAGACCTTAGCATTATGTAAGTTTTTGTAAACACCTCCAACCCCTTATAATGCACTGCAATGGTTACCTGCATACCCACCCACTGACATCTACATTACATAATTTATGAACAGCCACAGAGAGAATTTTTGGAATTTATTTTGAATTACTTGTTTTTGGATAAGAGTATGACTAAAAAATTTTTACTTTCTGTTATACACAATGAAGTAGTATAATAAGGCAATAGACTATCAATACAGCCACTTTATTAATTGCCAAGATGCATTTTGGGTATAAACCCCTCTTCTGTTGGCTTTATGTACATTCTTTCCTCTTTTTAAAATCACATTAAAATTAATCTTTACAATCTCCTTTATAAGTGGTTTGGTAAATTTTAACAAATACAACTACAGTAGAGCATCAATTATCCAACCCCTGATTAACCGTCACATTGGTTAACCAACTGTTCTAGTCGGCAAATTCAAATGTCCGCTAGTGATGTGGCGCTACAATATTTGGCTATGTCTTGGCTACTTTAATATTATTTATGTTAAATTTTTGCGTGTTTTAGCTGGCAACACTGGCTTGACCATGAAAGGGAGGCCAGTATTTAAACAAGGCTTAATTTTCGTATTATGAGTGGTTGTTTGTTTTGTGAGCAATAAAATAATTTAAAAATAATTTTTAACAATACAATAGTGACATCTATCAAACTAGAGGCTCAAATATACAAAAAGAACTAAACAGATGATGCCCACAGGGGTCCAATTCGGGACCCCTGTTCTGGAATATCGTATATGATAACTATTTAAAAGTTGACAAAGGAGAAGGTGTAGTTGAGCTAGCGTACGCCGACGATACGATTATAATATTTGGATCGAACTCAAGGAGGGAAATTGAAGATAAAGGCAACAGGGTACTAAAATTGATATCTGAAAAGGGAAGAGAACTTAAACTCTACTTTAACCCTCGGAAAACAAAAGCAATAGTTTTTACAAGGGGAAGTACTCCAGATCTTTATAAAAGATCGCCTACAATCAAAATGAATGATCACAACATTAAGGTAGAGAAAGAGATGATGTACCTAGGAGTGGTGTTGGATCACCGGCTCACATGGATGGCACATACTACATATGTCAAAACTGTTGGTGCAAATCTATTCAATGCTCTGGCCAGGGTGGCCAAGGCCACATGGGGCCTCAGCAAAGAGGCCATCGATATTATATACAAAGGTGCGTTTGTTCCAAAAGTCACTTATGCAGCGGGTGCTTGGTTCAAAGCTGCAGAAAGAGGCAGCATAAAACGGAAATTAAGGAGTGCGCAACGTGTGGCATTACTTAGGATGACAAGAGCATACCGCACGACATCAACAGAGGCGTTAATGGTGATTGCCGGGATTACGCCAATAGATATGATTCTACGTGAAAAGGCAAAGATATATATGAGTAGAAGAGGGTATCCAATAGACATCATGAATGAAACTTACAACAGAATGGATTACGAAATGCAGGTAATGGCAAGAATGCTACCGAAACCCTATGAACAGTCGGCAATTAACATTGCAACAGAACATGAAAGTAGTGATATTGACATATACACTGATGGATCTAAAGTTGAGGGCCAGGTAGGAGCCTCCTTCCTGGCTATAAAAGACAATGTAAGAAATATACCAAGATCAATACAGATTAGACAACAAATGCTCAGTGTATCAAGCAGAACTGTTTGCAATATTACAAGCAGTGGTGATATTCAGCGGGTTCGCACAGGTTCGGCCGAACCCGTTGTTAACATTTTCAAAGTTTTCTGAACCCATTGTTAAACACACGTAACATTTCTCAATGGTTTTGTTTCTTTTAAAAAATATATTAAAATATACGTATTATACTCTGTAACACTACTAAACTAGAGCCTTATACCCCGTTCGCCTTGGTGCAACCTCCATCGACCGTTTCAATCTCGACTGAAACCAGGTTTAGTCGCGATCGACTCAAGAGAGTTCTTGAAACTAGGTCCAGTCATATGAGAGATCCCACGCGCGCGACAAAATACAAGATGGCTACGGAACACGTGTCGTGCTATCCACAGCGAAATAAAAAAAAATATTGTATTTCGAGAAACAATGACATCTGTCTATTATTATGATAATACCTAAGGATAAAAGAAATGATTTAGAAAAGTTTTTTCTTGAGAAAAAGTCATAGGGAAAGCAGTTAAACCTGCTTTCCCTATGACTTTTTCTGATTAAAAAAATGCCAATTTTTATGTTTATAAAATACAGTTGTCCCTTGATAATCCGACAGGTGTGGGACCAAAGGTGTGTCAGATTACCAAAAGTATCCAGATTACCGAAAATAATTACATATTTCGCATTGTTTTGCTAGCAGTAACTTACAATATTCTCTACTCCAACTGTTCGAACAGAACTGCTCACATAAAACACACGAAATGTGTGTCATCGTGTAAAAATTGGATGGGGAGATTCACATCGCGACATGCTTCTGTGCAAGCAGACACGTAACGGGGACGGGTACCTTGACGGGAGGTGCGTCGGACTACTGAGCATGTCGGATTAAAAAACGTCGGACTATAGAGGGACAACTGTATTTTGAATGAAAAATATTAAAATATGTACAAAATAAACCAGTTTGAAAACTTTTTTTATATTATTTATCAAAAAACATAGTTCTGGCATAAACAATGTTAAATTTTAACTGACTTAATTTTGCGAACGCATTTTTTTTATTTATATGGGTATCTTAAGGTCAGTTTTTGCGCTAATGTTGCTAATGCGAGCGAAAAAAATTTGTTAAGGAAAAATTTTCTGTTAGCGAACCTTTTGTTAAATATTTCGAATATCACCACTGATTACAAGCTGTTATATGGATAATCTCCACCCAACTGTCTGGCTCTATAGTTATAAACACAGACAGCAGAGCTGCTATACAAACACTTATGCAGTTCAATGATAAAAATATAATGGCTTTAGAAGTCAAGGAACTCATAAAAGAGTACAGTTTAAACATTAAAATAAAATGGATAAAGGCTCACATAGGAATAGAAGGGAACGAGAAGGCAGACGTACTGGCCAAAGTGGCCACGTCATTAACTGAAACCACTTACAATAAGATTCCAGTGTCTTACATCAAAAGATTAGTATGGCAAGAGTCAATAGAAGAGTGGCAAGAAGAGTGGAGTTATAGCGACAAAGGGAGACACACCTTCTGGTTGCTTTCCAATATAGAAGAAAGATTGAATGATTTAAGATGGCTTACAAGTGACTTCATAACAACACAACTTTTGACCAACCACTGTAACACCAAGGAATATTTAAAAAGGATAGGAAAACAGCAAGATACACAATGCGAATGCGGAACGGGCGAACACAGTCTGGACCACATCATAAATGTATGTACAAAATACGAAATGGAAAGAATGCAGCTACTTACGCTAGTCAAAGAGACTTTAAACATCTCGAGCTTGGATTTATACATGATAATAAGGACTAGGAATCTGGTCCAGGAAGTGAAAACCTTCACGCAAACAATAATGTCGTGAATGGGGAGCGAGCTGCTCCCATTGTGACAGAGTCGCAATCTTGTAAAGGCGAGTTGCCTTGGTATTAATGTTTCTTTTATATTTTAATGTATGTATTAAGACTCTTCTCATATTAATGTAAAGTTTGAATAAAGATAGCGTTTCCCTTGTGGTGCTGATAGTGGGACAAGGGTGACTCTGATCCCCAAAAGGGAAAATGATGATTATCCAATGAAAAAAAAAAAAAAATACAATAGTGACAATTATTATCAAAAAAAAGATTTTGTTAGGCTTCAACAAAAGCTGGAATAAATGAATGAGTTATGCCATGTGTTGATTACTGTGCTACATTGCAGTTTTTAAACAGATCAACAAAAGCTTGAATAAATGAATGAGTTATGCCATGTGTTGATTACTGTGCTACATTGCAGTTTTTTAAACAGATATAAAGATACAACATGGTTTCGAAATATGGAAGAAAATTCAACGCGAAGTAGGCTAATAGCGATATACTAATATACTATACTAATAATGTATATTTTTATACTTTTCGGTTATCCGTTTTTTCAGTTATCTGACCAACCCCAGTCCCCAATTGAGTCGGATAATCAATGCGCTACTGTATTATATTGCATTGAATCAACACTTCTACACTACAAATTCTGATTTTTTTCATTTCATTATAAGAAAAATGACTAAAAATATCAAGTTACTTAATGCTGTATGATTTTAATTGTTTGTAATATATGTATAATAACATGTTGCTAATTTATTTGAATCAATCTCAGATTATTTCAGTTCATTCTAATTGATATGTTATTATTGTTAAATGATATATAAATGCAACCAAATTATTTGAAATACAGGGTCTTCTGAAATAAATGCTACCATTTTAAATTACTGTAATTACATTAATTATTATTTGAGAAGTATGCAACATATACCAATTAATAGAATAACCACCTGAGTTTCACTCCCATCTTCATTCAATTGTCTTGTTGTCTACTGCTTGTAAGAAGTATCATAAACAAAAATTGCAACTATGCCACAGATAAGGCATTTTGTGTTTAGTAGTTCTCATTCATTATTGTGCAACATATCAAGTAATCTTCAGGAGTTGTAGAATTGTAATTCTCTGGGAGGAGTGACAATGGATATATTTTTGTAGTGAATATAGGAAGAATTTGAGTATGAATTGGATGTGTGCTGTATAGCATGAATTGAGAGCTGTCAGAGTGCTGTGCACACATTGAGAAATTGTAATGGGCATAAGTGAAGCTTAGACAGTTTTTCAATGTTTTAATGTACATTACAATAACTCAGATAATAATTAACATAATCACAATAATTTAAAATGTTAGCACTCTTTTTGGAAGATCCTCTACTTCTAAAATATACTATCCAAATAATTTGGTTTAAAATGTCTATAAATGAACTAATTTCAAATATACTGACAAGTCTACTTGTAATAACTTATATCTATTACTACCATTTTTTTGTCATTTAGTAAAAATATCAAATGACATTATTTGATACATTTAGAGTACACTATCTATCTCATATTTGTCCTGGTGTTTTTTTCTTCAGAAAATACTTTATGTTGTTTTTGATCCTTAAAAGAATATTATAAACCCTAAGCTGAATACAGAATTCACATTTAAATTTTCATCAAATAAAATAATAAAAAAATATTTTATTCAAATCTATAATAAAACCCATAAACCTTTAAATGAAATATAATAAATTCAATTTAAATTTATAGAGACGTGTCGTCACCAGGACTAATACTTATTATTATGGCCCCATTGAAAATACTCCTTTCTCGTAAGTAATTCAAGAGAATATTTACACATTTATGGTTTTCTATATATTTATATATATTCTTCAATATTAGAAAAATAGTTTGGCAAATTTCATAAATCATGGCTTGCTTTGTGAATGCAGAATGGCTATATCAATTCCTGAACCTTACGGACATTATCGTGTTACTGGTCAAATTGAAGTGAAGTTAATGAAGGAAGATTGTAAGTATGATTGTTAATTAAATTTTTTTAATCATAGTTTACTATTATAAACTAAATAATGTTAATTTTTTAAAATAATTTTTATAATTTACACATTTAAAAGATTTTATTCATGTTTAAATTATTTTAAAAATTAATTCATAGTAAAATTAAATTTTAAAGTTTTATTTTAATCTATAATGAATTTATATTTTAAAAATAAATAGTTTATAGTTTAATAAATTTAAATATCACAAACTGTTCTTAAAAGGGAGAGATTATTTCAAAGGAGACAAATGGAGAGTTCATCCTGATTGGTAAGCAAATGATATTTTTATCTTACTTTTTATTTTTACTATTAATGTAAAATGGATTAACAAGAGTAAAATCTTAAATATTATGAAGTGCAATATAATATTATCTATTTTAATTAGCGTGAAATTTATGGTAGTACTTTATATCAAATGTAAACCCGGATATTTGATATTTAAATGTTTCTTATTAATATATTTTATTCACAAATAAACAAATTAAAATTTCTAAATATATTTATAGCAATAATGATAAAGTGAGACTTTATGAATTTATAAAATAATTACTGTATTAATCCATACTCACAAATTTGAGTAAAATAATTTAACAGTAATTTAGAGTTAACAATTTGAATTAACACTTGTATATAAAATGTCATGAAATTCATGCCAATCACTTTCCTTTATCTTCATTAGTAGTATATTGATCTCAGGTCAAAGAAATCTTTTTTTGATTCTATTATTCAAGATTTTGACATCACATGACATAATTTAGTTTCACTTTTATAACCACTTAAAAGTGTTTTTTGGTCAAATAAGCCAAAATGTTATGTCCTTTGAATCCAATGCTCACCCAATTCATGAATTACTCAGATGATGATTAATTCTCAGATATTTGGCAGTTACTAATGAAATAGTTTTGTAATAAGTAAAGCACAGTCTCTTAATGATAATATTATAATTAAGGGCCAGTTTAATGTGTTTAAAAGTCAATATATGTGCATACATATGCACATATATTATGCTGATAGAAGGGCATATCAACACTAAAAACCATTTTTTATCAGGAAACAGTTTGTGGCATACATTACAATAAAGAATTTTTCTATCTGTTTTAAATGCTTAGGATCCAAACTTATGTACTGTACATACTTCCTTAGCAATTCAGCATTAGTTTTTGCCATTTTATCCATATTGGTTGAATTGAACTTGATTTAACAGAATCTTTTCTGCACATGCTCTATACACAGAAGTTACTTTCTTATGAGTAAAGTGGTTAATCTCCCTTAATTTAAATAAACATTGTACTTAATATATTTAAATCTTTCAAAAAAACATAACATTTACAATAATTTTAATCTGATTAATTCAAAGAATTTTGAGAATTTGAAAAATGAGAGTCCCAAAAATGAGTAAATTTTTCATGGCAATGAAAAATTTAATCATTTGTGGGACTTTAAAAGAATAAGAGTTAGATGGTTCAAATTTAAAACATTTGAATTTTGTGAGCACACCAGTTATTAATTGGTGGAATGATATTTCTCATGTGAACTGTGCAGTGAATCCTTTTTATGCATGTACAAATAGCAGAAATGGACTCTAGATTATTTGAAAAAATAATCTAGAGTTACTTGCAATCATCCAAATAAGCTATAAAGTTCATAAAGGATTTGTTAGTTATAAAAATGGTCAAATCTGCAAAATATGCATTATCATACAACATTAATTTGACCCACTCAAACCCAAGTCATGTTTATATCAAGGTTCTAACATCATAGCATTTAACGAAAACAATATGCATGTACATACAAATCCAACCCTTAATCATAACAATAATTTACATATCCAAAAACTTTATTTAAAATGAAATTAAAATGAAAGAATGGAAATTAGTATATTAAAGTAATGAGTGTTTCTTAAGTAACTTAGTTTTACAGTTTAAACTTTATCAATGTTATTTATACAAGAATCTTGAATTTAAAAAGTTTCAATTTAAATTCAAATTAAATANTGGAATTACATTATAATTGCATCTACATTATAGTCAGTAGCAAGTTAAAATGGATATAGCCAATAACAAAATGGACATGGCTAGCCAATGAATATATAACAGAACATTAAAAGCAAACCTGGTCACAATTAAGTTTGTCAAATAAAGTAATCATGCATATAAATATAGAACATTACATTTAATGTTTTCAAGCCCATTAATTCATCTTCATGGACAGAAAATTTAATAGTATTTAATACTGCTATGTGTAGAGTAACACCAGAGTATTGATTTGAAATGAATCCTTGACATTAGAAATCTCATTTCTTAAAGATATAGGTAATAAAATTTTAAAAAATTTCAGTCAGTGGCAGTTTTAGGTATTGATAACATATTGTCAATACCTAATTCATAGACATTCAAGGATCCTTGGACTCCAGATTAAGAGTTTCTAAATAGAATAAAGAAAAATGCTTTTAATAGTCTATGAAAAAAATATAAATTAACAAAAACTAAGACAAGTTTTATGAAGTCAAATAGAAGTAAGATGTAATTGTCTTCTTAGATGTATTTTATTCTGTAACTCAGCATTGCCTGTTTTTTCTGAAAAGCTCCTATTTTAAGATATTTTAATATCAAATATCTTAAATTTGGCATAAGAAAATTTTGAAAATTAATTTATTATACTACAAAATATCAAATTGTATACTATATTTAGTCCCAAAATTATCCAAAATAAAAATAGTTGATATTGAAATAAATTAATAAGTTGTAGAACATTTACTAATATTAATATTAATAAATTTTTTTATTAAAGAATATAAATACTGTGTATTTATATTCTTTAATAATATATATGTACAAAATGCAAACAACTAAGCTGACCAATCTGTTTAATAGATTCAGATCTTTGGTTTAGATACATTTTTAATGAATAACTTTTAAACACTGAATAAAAATTCAAATGAGTGATTAATTAATTAATCATCCAATCACAACTATCAGAAACTTTTCCAAATTGTTCACATTCATTTCTGAAATATAGATATAACAGTAAAATATGCATTAATGATTTAAAATATTTTTAAATCTAATTAAATTGTGACCTTTTTCAATTATTGATTTTATAGAATTTCTTGTAGAATTTTTAGATCTCAGTAAAAATCAAATTTTGTAACTGATTTCAATTGATACCATTTCCAGAAACAAATTCTTTGACAGTTTTATCATATGAAAGCCACCCTTTAATCTGTCGATGATGATATCTAAATTGTCTGTAAGTGAATATTAGATGATTGAAAGGTTACATAAGTTTTGTTTAAGACCAAATGCAACAATTAATTCTAGATTAAAAGAGAAAAATATTTAAAAAATTTTTTTAGCCTCTTAATAAAAAAGTACATTATACATGCATTTAGTAGCTTTTATATTTTTGCATAATGTAAAAATATATTTAATTAATATAAACTTAACTTTAAGAGATGAAAAAGTGATATAAGAGAGAATTTTAAAGGTTTCAGATATTAATAAAATAATTAATTATTTAGAATATATTAAGTTCAAATTCTCATATAATAAAACAATCAATTTTAGAAACAGATTTCTTTATGATAAAATTAATGACAGATTTTTCTTAATTTAAATGATGATAAGCATCTATTAACTATAATCAGTAACAGATTCATGGAAAAACCACAGATGCATATGTCATTTATTGATTTATATATCTTAGCCAATTGAACAATTTTGTTTCATTTTATTTTAATAAAGATTTTTAGTATTTGTTAGAAATTATGGATTTGTTCATTTGCCAAATAAGATGAAAAATAACCAAGTCACTATTTTGTTTTAAAAACATTTAAAATTTTCTACAAGTAAAGAGTTGCTTTTTACATAATTATAAGTTTTTGTAGTAATGTTGACTAATTTGGTCTGGTAATGCCAGTTATATGTTGTATCCAAAGACATCAATGTCAGCCAGCTATAAAACAAACTTTATATGAAAAATCACAAGAAAGGATTGGGGTTGCTTATTGTGTTATAAGTATAAGAGAAACAAACATAAAACTTCCAAGCAGAAACATTAATAATAGCTGTCAACGTGCTACTTAATAGTCATAGTCTTGTATTCTCACTCTGACAGATGCTTGAAATAACACTTGGTTCATTGTTTTCAAAATTCATTATATTGTAATCTATAAATTGAAGTTCAACAATATATTAAATTTATTCACGTGACACTATATTTCTGTAATAGTTTTATGACAACTCCTTGCTATTAAATATTTGATAAGTATTTTATTAGAATTAATTAAAATGGTTTTGGAGATTTTACATTACTAATTAGAATGTGTTTCAAAACAGAAGCTAATTGCTAGATGTATATTTTACATTTACTTATTATAAAGCGAAAGACAAGATTTTCAAATTCTTTATAGACTTTTGTATAAATTAACTTTAATACACTTTACTTCTAACAGTTTACATTCAGAAATATATACCTTGAAATAAAAAGAAGACATTTAAAATATATTGATTCACTTATAAATTAATGTCAGATTTTTAGATTTATAAAGGTTTGAAATTAAAGTTTAACTAGTTTGGCTCATATTTATTGGTTCAGCTGGCATAAAATGACACATCTGTATAGCATAAAAAATACTTAAATCCAATTACTGAAAATTTTAAAATTTATACATGAGTTAGATTAATATAAACTTTATACAAACATTCCAAAACCCAATACATTAGTAATATGCCAAATTTAACTATAATTATTAAATTTAATAAGATTTGCTTCTAGTGACAAATTATTTAGAAATTAATTAAATAATAGCGAAGAAGTAGCCTGATTTAATCAGTCAGTCATTTGGCATAATATAAACTTTCTTGAATTTAGTTAGTAATAATAATTCTATATTTTTAAAATCAAAGAAGCNATTTTATAACAAATTTATTAAGGTGACCATTAAATATGACATTCATATAGGTTATTCGCCAGAAAACAAAATAGAAAATAGTTCATATACACTGATCCCATATTCTTGAATAATTGGGGCCAAATAATCCTTCAATAACATCAAATTCTCAAACTTTGAGTTCCATTTTCAATGATAAATTTGTAATTCGTTCCAAGACTTTATGTATTACTGCTGTTTTTAAAAATTTTCAGAAAAATGGATAGTTTCATTAAAAAAATAAACTGTGCAAAATTACATAAATAAATGGTTTATAGCACTGCAAAATTCATTTTATTTAAGTCAAAGAAAAAAAATAAACAAAACAGTAACATAAC